AAAATATCTCGCTGCCACCAAAGATGTTCACTTGACCGCGACAGGATGCAAATGACTCACTTTTTGTTTCACGACCATACTGGTGTTTTTACCATTGCGTGACATCCTCTGGAAAACCAAAAGTTAATGACACATTGTGAACTTTCCCGAGGAAATGAGTCATAAATAGTGAATAATACACGGGCGCGCGTAGATGCGAATTTGGTTGATGGAATACAATTCAAGCTCGTGAAAAATTGCCTAATGTTCATGTAGTGCAATGATTGGGTATGTTCTAATGGACTTTGGACGTTGTTTTTATGGTACGTGATAGAACGTGAGTTGTTAGGCGCGTTCGTTGTGCGTAAAGGAGCCTTAAAAACACGTTTGACTTAAAAATAATACAAAAAACGAAATGCGAAACTTTCATGTCCCAATAAATCTCGACCTTAATTAGCGAGGCTCTCGCGAAGACCACAAACCACCACACTTATCAGATGAGCCCAAGATTTCTGGTCAATGTCATTCTTTGTACACAGCCCCCTGATCCATGACATCATTCATAAGAACATAGGTATGCGTAGCATGGGCGGGTTGAGATGGGACACTTTGTGTACCTAATGTTTTCATTTTTGTAACAGAAAAAGAGCATGACAAACGGACGAAAATATCGCGTTACTTCACCTTGAGAGAAAGAAAAAAACTTAATTTATCTGAACTCACACCACAAGCAGCCCAAGCTTCAGCTGCGAGATGATCATCTCGCGAAATAAGATTCATGATGATTTTTTCGGATTTTTCCTTTTTTTCTTTATCTGGCGGTGACATACCTGAGTATTTTTAGGAGCTGTGCCGTATTTTGACTTCCCCCACAGGCTCGTCAAATTCAAACAAAGAGTGAAAGTACTAGGCAATACTACACACCAATGAATAGTCTACTAGGTTATTTATGATCCAACTGCTTTTTTTTTCTACCAAGTCTTTCTGCTCATTTCTCATAAGGCGGGAAAAGCAAAGTGGATAGAGAAGCGCAGCATGCGTAGCCGACCGGTTAAACAGGTTTTTTTACAGTACAAAATAACCAACTGTACACATGTGGTATATACATATATTCGCGTTATTTGAACTCTACCTTGTGCAGTTGGATTATAAAACCAAATTGTCTTGTTGTGCCCCTCACCGACGCAGCACCACAGTTTCCTTAGAAACTAAACCCATTTATTCATACGTTGTTAATTACAATGCCTGCAGCTGGTGCGAGGCCAAAAGCAACAAAATATACTTAATAGACTGCGCTTGGAGAAGAAATCTCCCAAAAAACTCGGCATACTTCGTCTACACATACCTTAGCATTACTAAAATACTTCTCGAGCGCTTCACATAACATTATTCTCTCACTTTCATACGATCTGATTAGCTATACTTTATTTTTATTATTTTTACATTTTTTTAAAATTATTTTGCATTTTTTCCAGTCTATCGAGTTCATGTTCCATACAAAGCCGTTTTCTTCTTTATTTGTGTTCTTTGTTTGAAAGAAATTTGATCATATGAATTAACGTTTAAGTGTTTGACGTAAATGAAATACCGTATGCATAAATCAATTGATTGAACAGCTCGTTAAAAAGAAATGTGTAGCAGCGAGAGAGGAGAATTAACAATCAGATCTTGGGAGTTAAGGGGTTTAAGTCTTTTGGAGTGATAGAATTATCATTAGCTCTTCGGATTAGACAGAGATACTCTACTAGATTAAAAGATAGATTTGTAAAGAATCCTTTGAGGGTGGTATTTATGCGTTGATAACGAAAATCTGGAAAGGAGATAATTAATATGACATGAGCCCCAAAAGATGTTTGGCGAAGACGTACATGAATCAACAAAAAGATCTTCCTCGGCGTTACTTCCTAGTTCCCAGAAAAGAGTATGCGTAGCCTGCATGCTGAAGTTTTAAACTGCTCTCCCCTATGAAGGAGACTGTCAGCGTAGCTCAGTTCAATGAAAAATAGCTTTGTAAAATTAGTTTAAAACATTTGCACTCGTTTTCTACTTACTTTGAATTAGAAATGTGAATTCAAACTTCCTGTGTCCTTAGAGATAGATTATGAACGCAGTCTCGTCTGGCTACCACGATCGCAAAACACCTTAGTGAAAATTGTTTCTTGTTGCTGTTCACCTTCCTCGAGTGTAACATCAACGACACCACTGTCTTTTACCGCACCTACAAGAGTGGGCATCTCCACTTGTCCTGTTTGCAGTTGATTATCAAGGACATTCGTCTCAACCATACCAGTTACTTCCTGCAGGCCACTGAGGGGGAGGAGCAGGGCCAGGAAGCAGGGGAGGGACCACTGTGGATTTTTTCGCCATTCCTTGAGCTATCCTTACAAATGCAGGACTGAACTAAAAATTAAGATGTATGGGAATGATTTTCAATTCAGAAAACTGTTGTTTTGCTTTTCAAAAAAAATGTTTTCAACCTGGCAACAATAGAGGAATATCTTCCATAAAGTAATGACATAAGCACAAACAGATGACTTTTGCCAGTTCAAGTCAAAGTGACTCAGAATAGCTACGATCTCATCTTACTTTATTATTTTACTATTATTTCTTAATCCCGATCGACAAACCAAGAACACGACACAATGACTTAGCCAGGTCTCGAACCCAGACCTCTTGACCCGGAGTCCAGCACACTAACAATTACGCCATCGTGTCTCCCTCATAGGGGTAAAATCACGTGATTAATATGGTATTTTGTTGATAGCCAACAGGATCGGATATGAGGAAGACGCGTAACATGTAAATCGCTTTTTAAGAATCTGTTAGCTTGGTCAATCGCTAATAAGCCCATGTAAGGCAGACGACGAATTAGGTTTTAAAAGCATATGGAAGGAGATAAAACATCACTTGTTTGACTGTGGTGAAACCTCAAGAAAAATAAGTCCTTACCGGGTACACCTATGTGTTCAATATGATTCCCTTTCTTCGCGGCGAATTACGTCCGTTCGTTTTCTCTCTGGCTGTCGCTAGATGCAGTTCAAGACCATGCAAAAGACCAGGGTGTTAATACAGAATCAACAAATTGATCTTTTTATTTTTGAGAGAACGTGAGAAAATACATGTAGTCATGCCAAGTCTAGGCGTGAAAAAGTAAACAAAAGTAGTTATATTTCCTGTCAGTTCCTAGCTATATTTGCCCTTCGTCTACAATAAGACAGCAAGTATTCAAATGAGCCAAAAAAGTTGAATTGTTACTCTAGCAGTAATGAATATTTCAGCTACTATAACATCTCTGTCTATATACCTTAGTGTACCTCATTGTATCAGGAGCCCATTCCTGACTATATTCAATGCAATTTGTGTCGTATTTCTTTATCGGATGGTGTTCAATTCACTCTTTTTTACACAGTAAATGAAAAGTAAACAATTTCTATCAGCCAGAAATTAACAAAGCGTTCCTAACCTTGAGTTCACTTAAATACGTTGTCCTCAACTCAATTTTAAAACTGTGACATGGCGACAAAATTGACTCTCTCTTCAGCATTACTCTTTTCACCATAGAGGAGGGAGGGGGGGGGGGGCTTCAGAAAACATCCCAGCTAGGAGTCGATCAGATTTAAAATCTCAAATCGATTTTCTTTCCCTCGTAAAATAGAGAGGCGATCAAAAACATGAATAAGACCCAATTCCTTTGTAATTTGTGTCTGATCTGATCTGACCCCTCCCTTGTACACTCTAATTGACCAAATCATTTTTTATCCCCAGAACTAACCTTACACCTAATACTTATATTAAGAATGAAATTTCCTCTACAGAACAGTCGAATTTAAGGTATCTTTTCGCTTCCGAAAGCTTAAACATTCGGAACTGCTTTGAAATAAGCTGAAGACTGTGGACTGCTAAACCTACGGGGAGACTATGTCATTATCAATCAGCTAAATTTTTCAAATTAGCGGAATTCATCACTTGCGGCCCCGTCTCACACTGAGAAATAGTATTAGAAATAACCCGCCGTTAAGAACTGGAAACTCAGCATAATTTCCTGTCTCGTTGGTATATATATATTTGTAAAGCATATAAACCATCCTTTATATACTTTACAAATTTGCATTATAGGCGTGGCGGTAAGTTAAACTTTTTTGTTCAATTGAGGACACGAGTTCATTACGTTTATTGAGTGGTGAGAATTCAGGTCGGCAGATGATAAGTAATTTTTCTTTGAGGCAGAGGTTGAACCTCTACCTCAAAGCAAAATTACTTGCTGACCTAACTTATGACCGCAAAGAATTTGTAATTCATATCCAAATGTCGCAGCTTTCGATAATTTTAGATGTAAAAGCTATTAAAATTTTTCGGTTTGATATATTTAATTAAGAATTAATATACTTCAGAATTATCAAAAAATTCTCAAATGACATTGATGTTCAATGTTGCTATTAAGAAAATTCGTTAGGTACATTAAAGGCTGTTATCACCGGATGTCGTTGACAACAGCACTGGAACGTAGAGTAAACATTTGGGTCTGAGTTCCTTTCACAGCCTTTAACAGTCCTTTTATTAGATTTGCGTGTACTAGAGACGTCAGCAGAAAATAATGGAACAGGATTATTTATAGTTTCGAGTTACGCATCGCATTCGTTTCGAAAAACATCCGTCCTCCAGGTTTCCCCGCCGAGGTCGCCGGTGAATAAAATTAATGTATTGGCAGGGGTCCATTACCCGTAGCCTCCATACCAATTGTACTCTTGAGTCAACCCTGTCATGTATCTCTTTATTTTTAGAACTGAGATACGTGTGTGTGTGTCATGTTGTGGATATTGCTAAGTCTCTTGATTTCTTTGTATAACTGGCAAAATGAGAGTAAAATTTATTATCTAAAGTAAACGTGAATAGAATTTCAATTATTCAGAATTGAGAACGACGTTCATGAAAGATTTCAAGACATATTTCCCGCCTTTAAGAGTTTGAAACTTGAAGCCGTAATCAACTCTCGATCTCTGTATCTTCACGTCAGACGAGTCATGAATGCACTGGAAAATGCTGTGTTTTCTTTATACGACGCAGAGGTTTTCATCGAGTATTTGAGGAACCTTGGAGAGAGACATAAAACATGGCCCGTGAGGCTGGAACATTGCGAGGTATGTATTCTATTATGCCGATCAAGGCTACTTACGGGTACATATTGTTGTATAGCGCTGTATAATAATGTAAACTTCAGAAGAGGGAAGTATAGAGCTATCTAAGAGTACATATCGTTGTTTATGATCCATCAATTTTTTGCTCGCGCACGATTGGTCTAAACTCACGCAAGTGACTAAATATCCCCCACCTAAAACTGGGTGATATCCGAGAATATAACCCAAGCGATATTCCCAAATTTGCAAATCTTACGTCCACCACGATAAGTCTTTGTTTCAAACTTAATTAAATTCAGGATAAGTTAGTATTATCATCTGAGTTGATTACGTAAGCTGAAAGCTCACGTTTCGAGCGTTAGCCCTTTGCAATCGCTCTGACGAAGGGCTAAATCTCTTAATTACCCCCTTCAGTCATTCGATTCAGTAAGCTGTTCATAAACATTTTCCACGTGCGTTGCAAAATATTTGAAGGATAATAAACACAATAGCCTCTATTTTGCGAGAAAATACGTGCAGATATTTGCCCTTGGACATTGTCTGTCCCTCGAAGGTCTCAGTTTTCGCATCTTGGAACAGACAATGTCCGCGGACAAATATCTGTACTCATTTTCGCGCCAAATTGGAGAAGTTATTTATATAGCGCTGTATGGTGATGTGAAATTCGGTGGAGGGAAGCATATGGCTATTTAGGGGTACATATTGTTTTGAAGCGCTATATGGTTACTGCATTTTACGGATTTACAGCGCTACTCAGGGGTTTAATGTTGTATTGTGCTGTATAATGATAAAAGTTGCAGTAGAGGGATGTATAGTGGTATTTAAGGGAGGGGAGAGAAGGGGATATTGGCGTGCGTATTGGAGGAGTTTATTCTACGATGTTGGGAGACATGGAGTCGAATGATCGACGGAACGTGTTTGCTCATAATGAGTCTCAACTAGTCATCGACTATCTCTCTAAGCACTATAGTAACTTATCCTTTCTTAATCATTGTTTTGTCAAAACTCTTTTCCAGGGTCTTCTCGGCGTCTACATCCGAGATGGCGGCTACCGACTCTGTGGAGTCTGTGAATTGGCCTGCCGCTATCTTGGATTCGCAATGTAGGTGGACCCTGGGCGAGAGTTTGACCCATTCCCAATCAGATGATAGGAGAAGCCTTAATTTGGACATTGAAGGACTCGTTTCCAACAAAATGCACCGATTATGTCGCCGAGACTTGGAGGGAGCTGTTCCGCTTTATAACTGCTACTATGATGAGAGGACTGAGGAGAGCAAACACTGGCACGTGAGACTTAAAACTGAGAGACCCTGTGGCCTGGGAATGAGTTGAGGGGAAAACTGGGATTTTACTGGAGATGACTTAAAGAGGACACCATTCCAAAGTGGACAAAATAAGCATGATAACAACTACTCTAGGGGAGTAAGGAGGTATACGAGTTGTAAGAAGCCTAACGTTGCGCGAGGATTGAGACGAGTGAAAACTGAAACAGACAAGGAGAAGAATAAAGTTGAGTGCGATGAAAGAAGTGCGCGTAAAGATGGGAATAAAGGAAAATTGCGATTAAAAAAGGGAAGGAACCAAAGGAAGGAACAAACAGATGCGAAAATATGAAAAGGTTTAAAAACTTGTGCGAGGAAAAAGGTGAAAAAGGCGCACACATGTATAGCATGAACACGTCCGTCGGCGTTCAAAACCGCGTGAGAATATGGAGAACGATAGACAGTAGAAGAAAATAATCAAAAAGACGACGCGCGTTTGTTAAGTGGGTGGGGGCTTGAAACATGGAATGTTTGTACCCTGTCAGCTACACAGATTATCAACTTAGCGCGCGCGAGTCAAAACAAGCATTGAAGTCCACATAGGATTTGTTATCTCTACATCTCACGCGAATCCTTAGACAAACGATGAAAATCAACGCAGTTTTTGTATTTTATACACTGTATATTTCTCTTACACAAAGAATAGAAAAAATAAAGTACAAAACAAATTGCATTAAATTGTCCAAGGCTTTAAGTAAAATACGCGCTCAACTGAGACACTAAAATGAATCCATTTACTCTCAAGACTGATCATAATTTAAATTCTCCTCACAAAATTAATACACCGACAAACATGGTGTCCATACGATTTAGAGAAGATCTAAACTGGAGGATAACTTTTTGCTAGAAACGTAATGTTGCATCGAATTCTCGGAATGAAGCAACAAAGAAACATTCTTATCAGTTTAGAGAATTTTTCCTCAGAACTTGGGAGTTCATGAGTTAATTAAACTAAGCTGAATGAACAATTACCTTCAAAAATGATACAATACTTCACACAAATAGCATAAAAATACTTCGCACGAAATATATTGACATATTACAGAGCATATTTTGTTAAAACTGTTCCAGCTTGCTTTTAAATTCCTACGCTACATTATACTCAAACATGTGCAAGGTTAACTAGTACATTATATACCAGCATATACCTATGGAAGTTACGAAAATCTGCTAAATTAAGATTGATTTACAAAACTTTCTCCTTAAAAAGCTTTTATACAGTATATCTTAAACTTTTGACCACATAACTAGTTTTAATTACAAAGCGTACTCTAAATCTAAGTATAAATTCTTAAATCTAAGAAAGATATTATCAGACATCTTCAAATTGTACTAAGGTAAATTTAAAGAAATGAAAAAAAATTTGAACAGGAAATTTTCAAAAATTAAAAGTTTTATCATGAGGCCCTGAAGCTTTTCAACTACGGACTAGATTTACAATTATTCACGAACCTTTTCACCAAAATAATTCTCATTGAGGACTACATGGCTTATTGTAACTATACCTCTTTAATTTATTGGCGTAAATATTTTCCTACTGGAAACAACGAATTCCATGTCACATTAAAAGACACAGCTATGGAAACTTCAGTTACAGTGAACTCTGCGTCACTGTTTCTTTGTTTAGATTACACGGCAATTTTTAACCTCTCCGTCGTGGTTCTTCAAAACTGATGAGGGTGGAGATTCACAACTGTGTAGCTGTGTCTTGTTGTGGGTATTGCTCAGTGCCTTGATTTCTTCGAATAACTGGCAAAATGGGAGTAAAATTTATTATCTAAAGTAAACGTGAATCGAATTTTCATTATTCAGAGTTAATAATAATATTCGTGAAAGATTTTGTTTTAGACTATTTGAGTCCAACCCAAAAATTAAAGACATGTTCCCGCCTTTAATTAAGAGTTTGAAACTTGAAGCCGTAATCAACTCTCGATCTCTGTATCTTCACGTCAGATGAGTCATAACCGCGCTAGAAAATGCTTTGTTTTCTTTAAACAACAGCGAGGTTTTCATCGAGCATTTAATGAACCTTGGAGAAAGACATAAAACATGGCCCGTGAGGCTGGAACATTTCGATGTATGTATTCTATTATGCCGACTAAGGCTACTTAGGGGTACATATATTTGTATAGCGCTGTGAAGTGATGTAAACTGCAGAAGAGGGAAGTCTGGTGCTATCTAGGGGTGCACATTGTTGTATGGCGCTGTATTATGATGTAAACTTCAGAAGAGGGAAGTATAGTGCTATCAAGGGGCACATAGCGCTGTATTGTTATGTAAACTGCAATAGCGGGAAGTATAGTGCTATCTAGGGGTGCACATTGTTGTATGGCGCTGTATTATGATGTAAACTTCAGAAGAGGGAAGTATAGTGCTATCAAGGGGTGCACGATGTTGTAAAGCGCTGTATAGTAATGTAAACTGCAGAAGAAGGAAGTGTAGTGCTATCTAGGGGCACATAGCGCTGTATTGTTATGTAAACTGCAATAGCGGGAAGTATAGTGCTATCTAGGGGTACACACTGTTGTTTATGATCCACCAAATATTTTTTTCGCACGCGATTGGTCTAAACGCAGCAAGTGACTGAATATCTCTCTGTAAAAACTGGGTGATATCCGAGAATATCACCCAAGCGATATTCCCCAATTCGCAAACCTTACGCCCACTGTAAAAAGTGTTCGTTTTAAACTTAATTCAATTCAGTGAGCTGTTCATAAAACATTTTTTGCTCGAGCGTTGCAAAATAATTGCAGGATAATCCACACAACAGCTTTTATTTTTAGCGAAAATATGTACAATATATAATATGGTATTTGTCATTGGACATTATATGTTCCTTGAAACTCACAGTTTTTGCATCTTGGAACAGATAATGTCAGCGGACATATATCCGCACTTATTTTCGCGCCAAATTGGGCCAATAGTTTATATAGCGCTGTATGGTGCTGTAAAATTCAGTTAAGGGAAACATTGTGCTAATCTATGGGTACACATTGTTGTCAAGCGCTGTATAGTTGTACAAACTGCAGTTTACGGATGCACAACGTATTGAGGAATGTTTAGTATAGTATGGTGCTGTATGTAGATTTTAGCTGCAGTTTACGGATTAACAGAGCTACCCAGGGGTATATTGTTGTATTGTGCTGTATAATGATAAAAGTTGCAGTAGAGGTATTTATAGTGCTATTGAAGGGAGGGGAGAGAGGGGCATATGGGCGTGCGTATTTGAGGAGTTTATTCTAACGATAAGGAGACATCGAATAATCGACGGAACGTGTTTGCTCATAATGAATCTCTCAAGTTGACATTGACTACCTCTTTAGAAGTATTATGGTAACTTATCCTTTCTTTTAAAATTATTGTTCTGTCAAAACTTTTTTCCAGGGTCCTCTCTGCGTCTACATCCAAGAAGGCGGCTATCGACTCTGTGGAGTCTGTGGATTGATCTGCCGCCATCTTGGATTCGCCATGTAGGTGGACCCTAGGCGAGAGTTTGACCCATTCTCAATCAGATGATAGAAGCTTTAATTTGGACATTGAAGAAATCGTTGAGGGACCTCTTTC